GTCAAATAAAAATAAAACCACAAAATCAAAAGAAAGATTTTGTGTTAAGCTAAGTGGAATCACACGGACTGTGGTTACAAAAAGCATTTTATTAACTGTCTTTGTGTGTGACTTAGTGAGTGAAAACAGCAGCAGTGCCTGCCCTGAGGGCAGAGTAGAAAATGTGGGCTGTGCTCTTTCTTTCTGCCACTAACCAACTCTGTGATCTTACCAAGCCACTTAACACCTCCTAAGCTCAGTTTCACATAGGCAGAATAAGGATTTCAGAGTAATATTTCCAGAAAAATACCAGCACTAGCAATCTGAATAAATCCTAAACAACTAAATAAGCTAAATAGAGTATTTATAGTCTCTGAAAGCAAAAGGGTAAGTGCATCCTAAAAAGTGGGAAATCCAGAGGAAATCAGCATGCTTCACGTGGAGGATAATTACCACCACATTTCCATTGTGCTATTACCATTACTTCAAGGTTTGTAAATAAAGTCTCATAGTTTCACAGAGAAAATGAAGAAGTTCAAAGTGAAGGAAAAATTCCATCCTCCTTGACTAGCTCTCATATGGTTCTCAGATTTCCAATCTGGGACCCTTCAGGAGAAGCAGTCCGGCCAATTGTAGCTGCCACAAGGTCACAGAATGAAAGATAAAACCTCTAAGATAATTAAGGTTTTAATCAGCACTGAATAGATTTAATTCAACATTTCAAACTATGCTTTGAAGTAAACAAATAATATGGCAGGAAATCTAGGTCTAGTCCCCTCTGTCACTAATCACTTGTGTGACATTGGACAAGTCCCTTAATTTCTGTGGGCCTTATCAACTAAAGAAAGAGGTGGATAATGATACCTTGTTTGCCTGCAAACAGAGCCTGGACCACATACTCTCTTGAGTCCTTGAAGCTCAGGATTCTGAGTCTCCAAAGAGCTGATGCAAGCAAGAGAGCAGAGGAATAGCTGAGACCTCTTAAGTGGTCTTCATGATGAAATTGCCAGTGATCAATTTCAATTTTTTGTTAATTTTCTAAAGTAGCTTTTCTTGCCAGGCCAGACAAATTCAATATACTTAGCTAGGGAGTCTAAGACACATATAAGCTATCACTATTCTAAATCTCCTTTTGGCAAAGTATTTACCTTAAAGAAGCATTTAGACTTTAGATGAAACTTCTTCTTGGCTGGGATTTGGTGGGGGAAGAATCTTTGATTATTATAATGGAATCTGGCTGGCATAGACATAGCAAACCTCCTCTCTATCCAGAGCTGATATAGCACTCAGTCTAGTTGACCACTGCCAGACCAGGGCTCTGGCTGTAATGCTAAATGATGGTAGCTTGATTAATCATCAACCTGGCATTAATGGCCAGCAAGGATTCCATGTCAGCAATTTTCAAGAGCTTGGTTGCTCATAATATTTTGGGGCATCACAGTCCTGATAAAGTAGGCTATGTCATTCCTAAGAGCATGGGATTTTCTTCTGCTGATAAGTGATCCAGGGTGGTGACTTTAGTTTAGTTTAGTTCTGCATCTTATCCTATGCAGAAAGTATACTGCTTCATTCTAAAATCTCCCAAATCCTGCATGAGTTTTTATCAATATAACTTTTTTATCTTCAACTAGAATGACATGGCTACAAAAAGAATTAACTAGGACAGAAGTTTATCCAAGCATTACCTAACTTATGGATAAATTATAAATAACCTAAATATCATAAAACTGAAGACAGAAAATCAAGCAATCATTAAAAGTGCTGATGAGTAAATATAACTTTTGCAAGTGTTTGCGGTATGTTATTAAGTTTAAAAAAACAGGATATGAAAATACAAACAATATAATGTCAGCCATGTAAGAGGAAAGATATACTGGGTCAGGAAAAAAAAAGAAGAAGAAAAATAACCTAGAATGATACTAAAAAATGTTAACAGTGATTATCTCTGTGAAATAGTTTTAAATTTTTTTCCTCCATTCTTTTCAGTATTCTTGGATTCTCTAAAATGACTTTTGAATTATTTTTATAACTAAAAAATAAATTTTTAAGTAGTTTCAGCAAAGAAATTTATAAAAATCCCCTAGTATATACTAAAAATATTATTTAAAATTTAAAAAGGATATCCTACCCAGACAGAAGCCCGAGACAAGAACATCAGGACAGATATAATGGCAAAATACCAAAGCAGGAAGTTCCCTATTGCCCCACAAGAGTCATCCTTCCGGCATTCATAATCCTGATTAGGAATGGTAAAACTTAAAGGTATGGGGGGAGGATCTACCTCCCAAAATAAGGAAAAAAGGTCTCCCATGATGGATTCTTGCTGAGAAAATAAAACATGCTCAAAGGGATGAAGATGACTGGGAACTATTTCACTCCATGACGTATGACAATTTCCTTGGCAACCCATTATGACATACATTTAAGGAACTATTACAGGGATTGACAAGTGCTTCTTGTATTTCTAAATTTTTGGAAGATTTATCTAAATTACTTCTACAAAATTTTATGGTATTTTCCCCCATACTTCAATATGGTTTTTTTGGCCTTAATCTTTTATTCCCTTAAAATTGTATATGTTTTCATATCTTTAGATCTAAGTGTCTAAGGTACCACTCATTTTTATCAATCTCTTTTATATGTTTCATACCATTATAAATTAATATACACAATTCTAATTTATCAAAGACTGAGTTGCGTTCCCCCAAATTCAAATGTTGAAGCCCTCATACCCCGACATTTGATTATATTTGGAGAGAAGACCTTTAAAGAGGTAGCAAAGGTTAAGAGAGTCATAAAAGTGGAACCCTAATCTAATACTACTAGTGTTCTTATAAAAAAAGGAAACACTAAGGATTTACCCGGCACAGAAAAAGCACACATGAGGACATATGACAAGGAGACTATCTATGAGCCACTCAGGCCTCAAGAGAAACCAATCCGGGCTGGGGATGTGGCTCAAACGGTAGCACGCTTGCCTGGCATGCGTGTGGCCCAGGTTCGATCCTCACCACCACATACAAACAAAGATGTTGTGTCTGCCAAAAACTAAAAAATAAATATTAAAAAAGAATTCTCTCTCTCTCTCTCTCTTTAAAAAAAAAAAAAAAAAGAGAAACCAATCCTGCTGACACCTTGGTCTTGGACTTCTAGCCTCCCAAATGGAAGAAATAAATGTCTATTGTTTAAGCTACACTGTCTGTGATTTTTGTTTGTTCGCAGGGGCACCCTGTGGTTTGTGATATTTTGTTATGGAAGCCCAAATACAATGGCAAACGTCTATCAAACTTGATTGGCAGTGTTCTTTTTTAAGCCTGGAATAAATGCTCAATAGCTTATAGATTACATTAAGATGGAGAAATACATATGTGTCTGTTAAAAATTATATCAAATGTATACTATTTTTTTAGCAAAGAGTTGGACATGGAAGAGGTAGAATCCGGACATTCTAATTTTGACGGTATATTGAATCCAACTTTTTTTCTTTGAACAATTTTCATGTTACTTCATTTTTAAATCCACAACTAGGGCCAAACAATATTACTGCAAAGATAATATAAAAATGATTTTAAAATATCATTTAAAATCTGTTAGATCTTTAAGCATAGCAAACCCACAGGTTTTCTTATGCAATACAATGAACTTCATATTCTTCTATTTAACCTTAGGATCGATTTAGGAAAAATTTTAGTTACTAGGCGAACATGATGGTTTATTATGACCATGGATTAATGTTTTCATTGTGGGACACATTTCTCCCTATGTCGAATGAGTCCCCAGACTTCAAGCACCCAGGCCACTGGTTCTCTGGGCCTCAGGCCAGTGTCAAGATCTCCAAGAGATCTGGGAGCCAGACTAAGTCCTGGGCCAAGGCTGAGCTACATGTGCCATCTTAGGGCTCACTACACTCATCTCACTTGGCCTTCACTGCACCTCTGGGCCTACAGACTGAGCTCCTGAGACAGTAACCAGGGAGTTCTCATTTTTTATATTTCTCGCCTAGCTCAGTGGCACAGTATATGTATTTGGAATAGAACCAAACTCAACTACTCCTTGATGAACCTTTTCCTCATAATTATAAGTTCCTTAAAAAGAATTTTCAGGGAAATAGGTGTTTGTTTTTTTAAACATTGAAAATCTTTAACTTCAATCAAACGAATTTTGGGGTTTCTTGTTACTGTTGCATTCTCATTATATAAATATTTAAGAATTATGTGGGGGGATGGGCTGGGTTGTGGCTCAGCGGTAGAACGCTGCCTAGCACATATGAGGCACTGGGTTCAAGCCTCAGCACCACATAAAAATAAGTAAATAAAATAAAAGGTATTGTGTCCAACTACAACTAAAAAAATATTATAAAACAAGAAAGAAAAAAAGAATTTACGTGGGGCCAGAAGTGGGATGGATATGGAGATATATATATATATATATATATATATATATATATATATATATTTTTTTTTTTTTTTAACACAAGG